AGTTGTCACCTTTGCTGAGGGATCAAGATATAATCAGAGGTAGCCAGACTGAATCGATGATATCGCCACTGCCACATTTTTAAACTGGTGGCGCACCATATACATTTGTCATATTTTTATTTGATTTTATTTGTGCCCTTAGCGTGTGTGTTGTAGCTGAATATTCACTCTTCATGGGTGCATAAAGCGCATTGTTGACTTGCCTTGACTTATGTATATCGGCAAAGTAGTTGAAGTGTGCTTCCCACCTTCAGCTAATGTATAATGATGATGATGATGACTGTTTATTCGCGATTAACTACACTTCTAAGAAATCTCACTTGGATACTCGCGGCAACTAGCTACTCCGCTCTAAATACAGATCAGCCCTCTGTGATCGTCTGTTTATAACTTCGCCATAGACTCATTAGACAGTTGGAAACTTCCTGCTCGTTTGCATACTACCGTTACCACAGCTCTTTGTCAGTGCGGTTCCTGCTTGCTCTAGTACAATGAGTTCAACTGAAACTTTTGTTCAAACTCTGGGTCCTATCTGGTCTTCGCCAACTATGTTTTAGGGTGTGCCGTTAGTGTAGTAATTTACCATTTTCTCATTTCTCGGGATCTCTAGAGTTGACGGATCCCACCGGAACTAGTCAGACTGTCTGGTACTTGTCATTAATCATCTTTCTTTTCCTTAACTGATCAGACGTTTCCGCTCCCCTCAACAGCGGGTGTCAACTACCTCAGACTATTCTAATCTGCTATCCCAGCCCATTCAAATGGAGTGTACAACCAACTTTAACACAAACGATAACGCATATTTTGATTCTTGGGCTGACTTAGTTCCACGTTCACCCGTTTCCCTCTGCATTCCATGACACATTGAATACTGAAAATAGCTAACCACTAACGAAGTTGGCGTGCACTTTTTGCGTAATAATTCTTCGACAGACTGAGTAGACTTAAGTTTGTCAACGAGACGGTTTTATTTGCTCTTTACTTACAAACACCCCGTAACTAGTTGGACACGATGAAATGCATATGCGAATCAATTTAGAATCGTGCGTGCACATGCTGTTTCCGGAAATCCCCCCGAATGAGGTGTTACGCAAGTACACCCTAAGCGTGTAGTTCCCATGTAATTGTGTCGTACCGTCAGCTTGATGTGCTAGCTTTGGGACCTCCTCTGTTAGCCAATATGTCTACCCTTGTATCCCAAAAGTAAGTGTACTGATTTTCCTACATACTAATTAACAAAGTAACACCTCATTGGCAGATATCGGCGCATGGGCAAGGATCTTAGCTGCATGGCAAGCCTTGTTTCAACTCAATCGGCTGAGCCATTCCCCCGCTCTACAGCACTTTGTGTTAGGTCGCGTGTTAATAACACGTTACGTTTGCGATGGAGCGAAATTGCGAACAACGGTACGCTATCAAATTTTGTGTGAAACTCAAGATGTCAGCCACCGAGATAAGTGAAAATGTAACGGAGGCTTATAAAGGAGCCCCTCTTTGGAGGAATATGGCTTTTCGATGGTATAAATGTTTTACAGAGTGTCGAACACCCAATCGTCTGCATTGTCCCTTCGGACTCGTTGAGCCCCGTTTTCGAGGTCGTTTCAAGACACCTTTGTAGAAGGTTTGATTAACTGTGTTCTGAAGGCACCAATTCTTAGTGCGCGATTCCACGGCTACCGAAAGAAACGACGATCATCGTTTTCGCCAACGCAGCTTGCACATCTTCCACATTTTCATCGTTGGTTGACAAAACTGACCTTCCGAAACCAGTTTTGTCTTCCCGACCCGACCCGACGAGTCTGGAGGGACATTATAGACGATTGGATTCGACACTCTGTAAAAGATGTATACCATCGAAAACCCATATTCCTCCACAGAGGGGCTTCTTTATAAGCTTCCGTTACATTTTCACTTGTCTCGGTGGCTGACATCTTGAGTTTCACACAAAATTTGATAGCGTACTGTTGTCCGCAATTTCGCTCCATCGCAAACGTAACGTGTTATTAACACGCGACCTAACACAAAGTGCTGTAGAGTGGGGGAATGGCTTAGCCGATTGAATTGAAACAAGGCTTGCCATGCAGCTAAGATCCTTGCCCATGCGCCGATATCCGCCAATGAGGTGTTACTTTGTTAAGTAGTATGTAGGAAAATCAGTACCCTTACTTTTGGGTCATAGTACTATAGCAGAGTCAGAACATGGCGGATAAACGCCGGGTGTTTTTCGCTCTCAACACACCACTCCCCGATGGTGTTCCTACGCAATTGCACTCGTCAGGTAGAGCGTGCTACGTGGGGATCACCACCAGCTGCTGGAGCATTTACTCCTGCATCATCGAGCTCCGCTGGTCACGATGGGCGGCTCATGTTGCATCACCTGTTATGTGGCTGCTGTGGCTTGCAACGCGCAATCTCAATCAGAACCACAATTGATACTAAAACGAATCCTGATCTGCCCGGTCACTGGCATCAGAAAATAGCGCTTTGAATCGCATTGCTGATCAAGGCGAAAGCACACACGTTATGTTGACAGCAACTGTATACTCTGTAGGACAAGTTGTATGGTTTTAAAATCCCTGAATGTTGCAAATAAGAGTGTTTAGTCCGTCTCTCAAGGCAAGTCCCATGACAAGATATCTCTTTGAGTGTTTACATTGTGCGAAACGTTGATGAATTTTGCAGCAAGAAGCTCCATCGAAATAATTACATGGATCGGTTAGTACGCGGACTTTACAGCGCAGTACCATTCAAGTGCATGCTAAGCTTAATCCAATCTCACGATCTTACAGCGCACGACATCTCTACATTTGATAACATTAACACAGCTGCAGAGAATTAGACACTGTAGGAGACAGTGACTATTTGTACAAACTTATGCAGAGGCATCTGGGAAGCTGCAACCCGAGAACTAACTAGCCACGATGTTTTTTTTAAATTAGTCTATCATGCGTAGGTCATTTAAAAGCGGTTGCGCCGCGAATACCTTGCCCTGACACCTGAGAGCCGTCCTTGAAACAACACTTGTCATCCGCTTGCCTATGGGCGTGAGGATAAGCTGTTACTCACCATACCTCCGACGATTGGATTGTCTCCTTGACCCGTTCCTTGCTTGTTTTTCTGTACTGGTGTTGCCTGTGGTCATTAGCAGTATCACACATTGGTCGAAGGTGAGAAACAGTTCAGCTAATGTGCCACAAAACGAAAAGATAAGATATGAGGAAAAGTAAGTTGCGAAACATTACAGAATAACCTATAAAGATCAAGAAAGTATTATGGTGCTTAGTACCATATCACACATCAGGTATGAGGTCGTGATTGCAGGGAAGAGGTAAGCAGGAGAGGTGGGACTAAGAAACTCACAATACTAACGCCATTGAAGTCGGCTCTTCGCCATATCAACAAGTGCATTCAACCAATCGTGTTCATCGTCCTTCGGATCACAGCCAAGTTCGAAGTAAGGAACTTCATGCCTGTTGACCGAGTCATTGTTACGAAGTAGCTGTATAAGAAATACACTAACATATCCGGATATTGTTTTGCAGCAGTGAAACGAGGGCTTAAAACTGTCCTATTTTGTTTCACCTTAAGGTAGTCTGTGAATGATGCCAGAGCGTAGTTTACTCAATTTCTGAACTTCTTTTGCCAGTCTCCATAAATCATTCTGCATTGCAGAATTCTGCTACCTCACAGCCATACGTGCTGCTAATGGGACTGCAGTGGACACCCACTGGTGTCATCGGTTTATTCGGTGACTTAGGTTCACTCCCCATTGAAGCTCTTGAGGGAGTTACTCTAACTATATTGATTCATCTGTTGAATATACAATCGTCCATCTGGTATAAGTTAACTTCCTCCCGATAATCGTCGCGTTTTGACACGAGTTTATTCAAACAACGTTATTCCCTCAGTATCTGCTTTTATATATTAATTCTAAATGCGCGTACCATCAGGTGTGCTCACCCTCATATATATCCATTCTGAATTTCTTTCTACTCTTCATTGTCGCATCAAGAACACAGAAAGGCTTTAGTGTGGTATAAATGAATAACGTTTTGACGGGACACAATTCAGATATTTAAGATACTCTCAGTAGCTGTTTTGCATGCATCCCCATATACTACTCGTGTTGCGTAAAACACCGGAAGATGGCCGAGCTGGTGCTTACCCACTCCTGTATGACAACCTAGAGACTAACCGCATTGAGGCCTGTGACTGTTACCCGACATGGCGCAATCGCTAAGTTAGCGGAGATGTCGCATTCCAAAACGCTCACTTTCTCTTCTACGCTGTCGCAGTGCAAAATTTTATTCTTCCGCACGTCAGCGTTGCTTAACACTATCTTGCCCTATCTACCACGTTTGCTTGTGGACCCAGTGAAATTTATAAACGTACTGCAAGAGTGGTTGTTGCAGTGACAGTTGTGCATGTTTTCCATCTTTTTTCTCCCCTGGTATGTTCATCGATATTGCCATCCAGTTTAAACGCAGTGGTGGGGTAAAAGCTGAAAGTGAACCGCCCATTAGGCTTCATAAAGCTTATTTTGACATATTCTGACTTGTTCCGAACTGAGCATCAGATGCACCCAACTTGTAACCCTTTGCACCCTCCCCGACACTGAACGGTTTTTTTTCGCGTTCTCAGCATCGATTTCTTCAACCGTTGTCAATGAGTTTCGTACCGACTATTTCCACCGCATTTAGTGTATGAAGGGCATACTGATTGATTACCTGCATCGAGCCGACGTCGCCCTAGTGCTTCGTTGTTTGACACCTCGCTGACACCTGCCCCTGTAGCCGACCATTATCTCTCATCGTAAACTATCTCATTCAGATCCCGTGCGCAGCTGTAGCACTTATATACCATATTTCTCTTTAACAATGTGGTGTGATGAATTATCCCCCCCCCCACACACACACACGAACTGCTTAGAACACCGCATCTGTTTTGTACCTATCCAATTTCGAAGGTATAACTCGCGAGTAAATCTTTTTTCTGCTTAGGAAAAGAATACGCTTTTGATGTGCGTTACACCTTTCGCGAGGTATACGACCGTGCCCGTCGCCACTTGTACCATTACACATGCAACACAAGTTCGCCCCCAACTCAGCTGGTCAACACGCATTCTATAGTCATTTCATCTGGGCCACCTTCCAGTCAAGAAACGCTGAGCCATCAGGCCTCCGGCGATGTTGCATCTGCGCCGAAACACGAACTCTCTAACCGAACCGATTCTATCATTACCGATGAGGTTAGTTTCAGTGGACATGAAGATTTACGTGGCTATTTCCGTTTAACCGATTTCGTCAGTTATCCTTCGCGAGGTGCTTAACAGTTAACGAACACCATTTGTCTGGGATCGCCATTATGCTGTTATCACTTGTAGTCTCCATTTTCGATTTTAAACCGGCCGAGACAATGACGATCCATAAGCTACCCTTGCAATTATTAATGCATTATCAAAAGCGATTCTTCGCAACTCTTTTCAGGCAATCAGCAACTGTCTGGTTGTTTCGTCACTTCAGATGTCCTCTACAGCGCGCATTCCCGTCGAGCCACATTGGGCTCAAATCCACGGCTCTTCTCTTGCGAACCAGCGCTTTTTCTCACCAGACTGAAGCAGCCAAGGCGACTAGATGATGACGCCCCTGTTAGTGCATTTTTTCCAATCAATCAATCCGGGAACTTTTATTTTCAGCTTGAATGTTTAATCCCAAGGTGGAAGTAATACTCGCAGCAGGAAATGGCAACTGTATCCTGTTTTAACTAGAATACACTATCGTGCATTAGTCAACCGAAAATGGTGTCTGTATAGCGGACAACAATGCTGACCTCGTGCAGCGTGTTTTGATGAAAGTGCTGGTGAATGAGGGCGTAAAACCATCTGAGATTCGCGGGATAATTTGGCCGTTGTATGGGGATGCAACACACAATAACAGTATATTTGAATAGTGCAACTACTTCATAGATGGTTCTACGTTTGTCCCCCGTTTAGGTGGATCGCTACTGCCATCTGAGAACACTCATCGCGTTGAATGGCTTGTTATTGCCAATCATCACAAAGCGTATCTTGAAATTGCACTTGTATTTAATCTTTCTTTGTGTACGGTATACGTGATAATTCAGGATCATTTGCTGTTCTAACAAATGAGTGCCGTATGGGTTACAAAACAACTTTCCGCTTTTGATCGGCAAGAATAGGTTAACGTCTACACCAAATCCTATGACCCTTGTGACGTGGAAAGTCAGTATCCCTTATCATATCGTTCCATTTCCTTTATAATCTCGAATTAGCACCAGGTGTTTTCCATCTTTTTAAACTTCTAAATTTATTTCCACAGTCATGATTTAGTGAAGCAGGCTGTCCCAAACTAGTTCAGAAGTGCTGTTAAACTGCTATGCTGAAGCTTTCCAGGCATCGGGAAAGTGTCTGACTATGGTAGTACAATATACTGAAATTAAATACAGCTACCACTTCTCTAAGGGTATAAATTTCTCCTCTCTCAATGTTCCGGTTTGACTTGAACAACTTTCGTAGCCTATTTGCAATTATTGTTTTGGTTTATCTTATCCTTCGCATTACTTCTAGTCTCTTATTCACTGAATCCTCTGTTTTCTCTAGCTGTATCTATAGAATGCTTGTTGTAGCCTATACTGAAAGTCTAGGCCATGGGTCACCAAACATTTTTCACTGGGTCGAATGACGGATAAAACTGACTAGCGTGAGCCAGATGCTCGTTCCGCACAATAGTTACAAGCCAGGACGAAAACTCTGGGAGAAAAGGCAATGAATCTGACACTCCTCTCAGTACGCAGAGTACATATTGTAACGAACAGCATCTTGACAGAAACATGATACTTAATTACCAACATTATGGAAACCTTATTGGAACAACTGCAAACACAGAGTGCTCTGGGTGGAATTACTGCTCATCAAACGTATATATAAAGTTCATACGTATCTTTGATAATTGAATATATATAGTTGGCGGCATTCGATTCCGGACTTGCCTGTCACTGCGGTCACCATAGGGCATTCACAGCACGCTTGCGCCTGCAGTGGGGCCATGGGTGGCTTGGGTTGAATTACCCACAGCTCCGTCCACACACGCATATCCAGTGTAAACCCGAAGCAATGTGACCGGTAGGCATGTGGATGGGAGCAACGTTTCATCAACGGAGCCGGTCCGTAATACTTTAACCTGCACGGCAGCAGCAGCATTTTTGTCTATCTAACTGCGGAATCAGACCTCGACGTCAATGCGCTATCCACCATTGACGCCTGTCACCTTTATAACTCGTTTTTTTTTTCTTGATGCAGCAACACCTCGTACACCTTGGCAACCGCATTCGCTATGTCGGCACGCCATTGACGCCGATCCACTGTCATCACTTCCTAACACATAGAAACAATGTTGCTTCCTAATGAACTACCATTGAGCACATCCTGGTTCGCCCATATTCCGCTTCCCTACGCCACGCAGCTTTGGTGTCCTAGTCGAATACATTGGCTGACATGCGAGCCATCACAGGAGGTGCAGAAGAAGTATGCAGTCCACTGCATGCATGCCACTGCGTCGGAGCACCCCTCGTCTACAACTCGGTCACTCAAGGCGATGCGCAGAACACGACGCAGACACTGTTAATGGAACCGCTCCAGATATTGGACATGTTTCCGATAAAGTGGCCAGGTTTCACTGCCGAATAGAAGAACGGAGAGCCCCCATAGACTTGTATACCATCAGCTACGTCACAACCGTGGGTTGTTCCGCACATTTTTCCAGCTTACCAGATGTGACAGCCGCCTTCGATACGCGCCTTCGCAGTTAGTTGATCATTTACAGGTCGGCAGACATCGCGCTCCCAACGTAGCAAAATCCCGAAGTGGATTCCAAAACGTCGATATTAATGGGAATTTGCGGTAGACCCGCAGATTCCACGACTGTAGAAGAATGAAAAGGACAAAACGTTTTGCTTGTGTTGTTGGTGAGTCCGAATTTGGCTGCTGTCGAAGCCAGAGCACTAGTCATGTGCTGCAACCCATCCGCGCTGGGTGCAAACAACGCACAATCGTCAGCAAACAGCATAACACAACAAACAATATACGGATAGTTGTCTCACAGACTAGAGTTCTCGCACCGAAACGACGGATGTTCAGCAACCCACCATCAATACGGTGCTCCACACGAACACCGTAAGCACAAGCCGCATCAAAAGCACATCATCGCATGCAAATAACTATTAAACAGGGCAGGAGCTAAGACACAGTCTTGCTTCACACCAGTGACAACTGCAAACTCATCCGAGGTCGCTCCACTCAGCTGCACCCTCGAACGCGTACCACTGTGCAGACATTCAATTAAACGTACAAAGGTACTCGGAGAACCAAACTTTTCCAACACCATCCACAGTGCCTTGCGGTTCACCGCATCAAATGCCCTGGTGAGGTCATCAAACAGCGAGTACAATGGCTGGTATCGTTCTCTGCAACTGAGGAGCAGCAAACACCATATCGATGGTGCTGCGGCCCGAATGGAATTCACATTACTCTTCATCCACATTCGGTTCAACGACCTAAGTGACGAGGCGCTTGAGCAGTATCCGTACGATAACTTTCCCCGCACAACTTAGCAAGTTGATGTCACGATACTTCGTGCAACATTGCTTGCTCACTTTGCCGTGGTACAGTGGGAGCACAAGGGCATCCTTCAACTCAGGATTGTCAGGACGCGTTGCACCAAGTGATGCAGCGTAGTCACCAACGCGGGTCCACTGTGTTTCAGCACTTCTGGTGGTATCCCGTCGGCACTGGCACACTTGCCGTTTCGCAGCTGAGCAAGTGCTCACTACGTCGCATCTAGTGTTGATGTGTCGGTAAGACACATCTTCATCTCCTGCTGTTGCAGCTGTTGCAGCACAGCCCACTCAATCTCTTAACGGTCGTTCAAGAAACAGTCGAAATGCGTTTGCCAGATATACATTATGTGTGCAATCTGTGTGCACGCAGCCCCTAAAGTAGCACTGATCAAGGTTCTCAGCGGCTGCCATTTGGGTCCATAGACCGCCTTCAAGAGGTGAAAGAATTCCTTGTGTTGGCGGCGTTCGGCGTAGCATTCCATCTACTTCGCTTTCTCCGTTCACGGTGCATTATTAATGCGACGAAGCTCTCGGGTCAGTCGCCGTCGAAGTTTGCGCCACTGAGTCCTCTTCACCAAGTTGCTTGGGTCTGCCACATGTGCAGCGAACACTGCATTCTTCACCGACATCAATGCGCTAATCGTCGCATTGCTCTCATCAAACCAATCAGGCCGCTTACAGTTTGCGCTCCCGATGGTCTCCTCAGCAGCAGCTGTCACATGGTCGCGAATGTGGTGTCATTGGTCGCCCACTGTGTGTATGCATTTCACATCACACAGTCGTGCAGTCATCGCCTTAACCAGTTCAGTACGTTTCGCCACAGTACCGAGGGAGAGAATGTTAAATTGATACCGATTCACGGCGGGAGTGCAATACACAGATTTACGAAAACATATGTACAGTTTGGTTCGTACCGAATTGTGACCAGTGCCACGCTCAGCTCCACGCACTACACGAGTCATGCGCACTTCACGCATATCACGCTTACGTACGATTTCATAGTGGAGTAGGTGAGCGTGACCACTCCGTGGGTGTGTCCAAATTGCTACATCACTCGCACTTAGTGCAGACCGAGTGTTGGTGATCGTCAGGGCGTGAGCGGCACACAGTGTGAGCAACCTGTCACCGTTCGCATTCGCTGAACCAATGCCATGCGGACTGATAACATCTGTCCACACCGATGAATCACGCCCAACGCGCGCGTTTAAATCACCCAGCAGAAATAGTCGGTCACTCCTCGGCACAGACCGTATCGCGGAAGATGGCTGATTGTAGAATTGATCACGCGCGTCATCAGCATAACACATAGCCGGACCGTACGTGCTTATGAAAGTGGCAAACTTACCTCTTCTGAGTCCTACGCGAGCAGTCATCAGTCGCGCACTGATGCCTGTTGGTTCAGCCATCAGCTGACCATTGAGGCGATCGGATATTGCACATCCGACCTCATGATCACGTTGTGCCGAAGTGGCGTTGTCCACCCAGTGGAACATATTTTCTGCACCGGGTACATGCAGCTTACCTTGTTCAGCGTGGTGGGTTTCACTGAGCGCCGCAATATCGATGTTGTGGCGCACCAGTTCCATCGCGACTGGTGCAATGCGTCGCTCGGCG